TACTAATTTCTCATTTAAAGTTTCACATTATTTTTTATTTAAAGCTACTTTAAAAGTTATCCTTCACAATTTTTCAATTTTGCTTCCAAGTTGAATTCATTTCCTAACACAAAGGACTTTCAAATATTCTTTTTCAGATTTAACTTCAAATACCTTTTATTCAATTTCGATCAATATTGTCCGAATGCCAATTAAAATCTAATAAACAAAGAACTATTTTTAGCAACATAAATTGTTAAGTTGGAGGTGAGAAACATGATAAATGACCAATTAAATTGTAAACTAAACTGATAGTCTTACTATTTTATATTATCAATCTATATTACTTCTACTTTTTCAAAAATAGTACTACGTATTATTCAACCTTAGAATCCACAACCCAGAATTATTATTATTATTATTATTATTATTATTATTATTATTATTATTATTATTATTATGTGCATGCACGGCGGCCTGTATTTACCGTGTCATGTGAGAAACCTTTTTCACAAAAAGGCAAATGGAATCGTTCGGTTTAGAGTCGTAATCTTTAGGTGTTCAACAAGACAAAGAAGTCGCTGGGACATGACACTCTGCACTAATTACCACATTTTGGTGTTCGATGGTGAACGAGAGATAGAGGAGCGCACTCTTCTAGGCCAATGGGTAGATCAGTGGTTGCGATGGCTAGTGGGCTTTACCTTATCCTACTGCCCACTGCCCTCCTAATCTCTTGCTGCCTAGTGTATTACGTATGAGATTGATCGAACCCAATAATTTTTGCTTAGTCTTTATATTAGTATTAAAATTTTTATTAAGTATATATATAAATATTAATTGCGAATCAAATAACTAAAACAAGCTATGAAATTCCTAATAAGTTCAGAAAGCATAAATTTCAAGCTCTACCTCAGTTGCCGAGTTCAATTTGCAATGCAGGTTAGGTACTACCACAATAGCGACTCACTTGATGAATACTCTGAATACCAAAACAGTAACAATTCAGTCTACGAAAATTATCAAGAAGAACATGCATAACTTCTAATAATTTTTCTCAGAACATTTTGCTAAATGCTATTTTTTGGTCCTACAATTATCTTGTCGGTAAGATATTTTTGTGTCAAGTTTCACTTTTCCGTAAAACAAACAAGGTATAGATAATGGTTCTATTATGTTGAGTAATAATAACCAAATTGCATATGGAAGTGAAAATTCTATAATACAACAGCCAGATAGTCTGTTGCAATATCTTAAATTACGCATTAGGTTGCACCGGAAAACAAATCATTTCCATGAGTTGTAACGTCCCAACAACTGTATTATGAGAATTCACCCTGAATTAGTAAGCTTTACGCTGATTGTCTGTCTACTGTAACTATCCTCCTTTATCCGAACTTGGGACCAACAACATGAGCAAGCCCACACAAGCGGAATTAGTAAACTCTTTTTTTTTTCCTCATAAGAGAGACTGTGCTTTCGATTACATAGGCGAAATTTACTATTAGGGTCACAACTCTCAAATTGCCCCCGTGATAAAAGGTCCTACGAAAAATATTAACGAATTGAGAAAGCATAGAAAAGTAAACATTCGACAGAAATAATTTCCTAACTTTTTCATTTTGATTCAACTATTCGTTCAACGTACATGTAACATATATTATCTTGAAGGAAGAGTTAGTTAAGATAAAGGAATGGCTATTAATCACAGCCAAAGGACAGCTGCCCAAACTTAATTAGCAGATAATGACTTGGCCCCGACCCTTTTTAACTGATACTGATAGCTCCATGCTATCCACAACAGTTTCTCAAAGCCAAGAAAACCTAACTGAATCTATACACATCAACATTAGTCAGCAATTTTGAATTCCACCAAACCACTGTCTGCCTGAATAAATGGAGCAGCCACTTTAGGAGAAGTATTTCTTTATATCTAGGATGAATCATGTGTTGAACAAGTTGTCTTTAATATTGAAATTAAACTAAGAAAATTCTATTAATAGTCAAATGAATCAGCAAAATAAAGTTAGAGATGACTCATATATTCTGTCTTACAATGTGAAAGTGAAACATCAACTGAAAGCAATGTATTTTGACAATATGGAAGTTTCTCTATTATCAGAGTTTCTCAACAAAACCAAATACATTACCTGTATAGCATAAGCCCGATGCAAATGTCACCAATGTCTTTGTCCTTCAATCAATGAGTGGTGTATTACTCCAAGCAACCATAGCAGCCAGCCACTCCTCTTTCATTACCGTCAGCTGACGCAGAAAGAGGGAATGACACATAGAAACTACAAGAATTTTTTCATTGTAGTTGTCAATCAAGACAAACAAGCTCTAAATCCCACGTCATCTATCAGCCAAAGATTATGCAAATTTTTAAAAATTGTACACGTTGCATTAGATGTTTTGCAAATATTCAAAGATTTTAACTCAAATACTCTAGTTCCAAACAAAAATACAGTAATGTTCTGGCTTATAAAGAATAATCTCCTACAAACCCCCTCCCCTAAAAAAAAGACAAAAATAGTACAGGGAAATAAGAGCCAATGGAGGCAGAGAAATGAGATTTAACTTCCAGATAGTACATGCATGTACTAGGACGTATCACGAGTACACTTTAATGTGCTTGGATCTATTGATGGCCATGTGGTAGTATAATGCTCCCAGATGAATCTGATACTCTATTCAGCTGGAAGCTGCTTGGCTAGGCCTCGAAGGAAACGGGTGAGGGACCTTTCTGCACGGACGATATCACTATTTACTTTCCCTTCGTCCTCGTCTGAATTGCTCCGATGTTCTCGTATTGATTGTACTTTCCTAACAAGACCACGTAACTCCTGTACAAGAGATTAAGACATAGTTAGATAAATAATACACCCGGGCAAGACAAACAAATTGTAGTTTTCATACAAAAGCCACATAATTTTTCTTCAATTTCTCAAGTAGGGGCAGCATATTCCATATAAACAGTGTAAGGAAGTTGACAGTTTTAGGTTTACAGTGATGAAAGGCACAGTTAACCAAGCTAACAATTATAGAGTTATAGGTTAGGGTGCACACTTGACAGCCTGCAAACTGATTTATCCATTTTAGTTCTTCGTCTAGTTTTCCTTTACTGGTTATTTGTCTTCGGGGATGAACATATACAGGAAAGCGATTGAGCGCAAGAATCATAAAATCATGTGCAAAAAATCCAAAATGTCAAGGAAAAAGGATAAGTAACACCAGACCCGTGCATAAGCAGCTGAACTAACCTGGCGATCAAAATCAACCTCTCTTAGTGAATAAATTTCTTTTGTGATGTCAACGTCCTTATTGATCAAGCCATCAAACCATCTATCAGCTAAAGCAGTATCATCTTCAGAATCCTGAAAATAAACAAAAAGGAAGCAAGGGTTAAAGATGTAGCATTTCCTGTGTTCCAGCTAACCTGGTTTCATGTAATTACAGGAAAAAATTAGCAATTTTAGTTTGTTATGCTCTGTCTCAAATTTTAACACAGAAAAGCAGCCAAAGAATTTTGACTCCCCCACATTATTTTGAGAAAAGAAAACAAGAGGATGGAGATTATGCCTTACATCTTCGTCATCCTCATATTCAGTCTCTTCAACTTCTTCATCAACATCTTCAATAGCCGAAAGTTCCGAACCAGATAAAGCCTGAAATTTAGTTTGGTCTCCATCTTTTGTTGCCTGAATTAAACCATCCATCAATTCAGGCTCAACATCCCGCAATAATCTACCTAACATGAATTTGTATCACATCGTGAGCATATAGCTTTGGACATACATCATTTGCTCGTAATCAAAAGTTTCAGGAGAATACACTGAAATTATCACGCCACAAACATTTCCAGGGTGAACTTAGCCCAAAAATATTCAGAAGAAAATTTCCAAGGTTTATGAGACCATAGATTTTAGAATTTAAATCATTAAAGTAAACCATGTCTTTGTAAAATGCAGATAAATAACAACATTAATTGCACGGTATTCAGTTTATACCACCACATTTAGTAATATAAATAATGCATCAAGAACACTATGCACAATCAATCAATTAATAAACCACAACTCTTAATACTGAACTTTATGGTTTTTCGTCATGAGAATGAACAGTTTACAAATCAATTATACAAAGCACCACTGTCCTAGAGAAAAATGGGACAAAAAACATGACAAGCTTATTCACTATGGCCTGGAGCGAGCACAAATGCAGAAATGAAAAGGCGGGATGTAAATAATGCATTCACAAGGGATATCCAATTTTCAGATTACTGCTTTTGTTATAATCATGTATAGAACTTAAACAGCTATAAATAATTGCTGGATCTTCCTAATAACGGATAGTATATAGGTCAAACATCAAGTGATAGACCAACAATTTTTTCACTAGAATGTCCCTTCTCAAAAGTACAAGTTTATCATTTGTTATGTGCTTCTGCCCAAGAACAGTATTCAGTTGATTGCTCTTCTTTCGACCGAGTGACGATACTGCAGTATTACTGTTTAGTGTTTACCCTCCAGTTACATGAACCTCCTAAAATATGAGATAGAGAAATTATGAGGATTCAAATTAAACTTAGATAGTAATAACTAATAAGTTGCCCTGCGCAGTTCCCAACAACTAAATTATTGAAACTCTACAGCATGCCACTACTTCCTTTTCCATTAGTATGAACTACTATTAAGTATTAAGCAGCTTAAACTTTCGGAGTGTCTACTTCCGTTTAGCAATTTGCTATTTTGCAATCCCATTTACGTTTTGGGTGCATCAACTTTAACTAACAAATTTGTTTATCAACTCCATTTTGTAGCAAAGAGACCTACTTTCCTTTGAGCCCTATCCCTTGAACCTGTCATGGAATCCCACTCCAATGACCAAAATACTTACCAATGTGAGAATGAAAAACTTGCAAGCTATGTTACGCGGACTCTCCAAAATGTTGCCGCACCCGTGTCGGATCCTCAAAAAATACACTACTTTTGAAGGATCCGACACAGATCCGGCAACATCTTTGGAGAGTCCGAGCAACATAGCTTGCAAGAGGAACTCGAGAAGTTATCGAACAATTATGCATTAGATCCAAAGGCAGTTTCACACAAGCATTCCTACGACTCAGTTCTAGCCTTTTTGCTTCTCAATCCTCTAGCAGCCTATCACATCTCATAAAATATTAGCTTTTCTGGATGCAAAATGTACGAAGCGCTGAAGATTCTAGGCGACATAAAACCTTTTTCAACAAGTCTTGTTTATTTTCTGAGTTTTTGGCAAAAATTATCCCTTATGTTTGAGGGTAGACTCAACACTGTCCTTTAAATATGACCTTGAGCATTATTTGTCCTTTAAGTTTATAAAACTTGAGCACAAATAGTCCAACTGATGAAATGGACCAATCAGAGCCTTAGAAACTAACGGAGTCAGGTGCCCTCCCCACACTGTGTTTTCTCCATGCAAACCCTTCTTCCCCCAATTCATTTTTCCACCATTGTGTTTATCTCTGCCACAGTAGTTTATGCCAGGTTTTATCTTTCTAAATGCTACACTAAAAAGCAATTACAAGAATGCCAGTGAGAACAAAGTTGATGGTCTTTTTAGGCTGCAAAAGGAGGAACAATTGTGGTTTATGGGATAAAATTAAATTCTATGTATATAAAAGAACAACTTAACGGCAAAAATTTCAAACTCGACTTCTATCATCTATGTAACGAACTTCCCTGATTTCTCCTTAAAACATCCTCAAATGTATCTTAATCTGGTTATATCATGTAAGTTTTAATTTGCAGAATCTTCCTCAAATTATCTTGTATGTAAAAAATCATATCCGAGTTTCCAAAAATATTCCAGAGCAGATGCTTGTAATCAATCTCTAATCTTGCTAAATTGCTTTTATATATAATCTTCATGATCAGATGAATTCTCAGCCAGTGAGCATAACGTGCTTCACCAACTACTAAAGGGTAAGCCATGTACTGAAATTTTAGGTATTTTCTAGGGTAGGGATCTTCAACATCGATAACACGCAACTACAAATTGGCAATCCATGATTCAGCAGTAAGTTGGCTCTGTTTGCTCCCCTTCAAGCACGTTACCCGCCTTTGTTGAAACTAAGTTGCGCCTATAGCTGGAAACACATGCCGAAAGCGGCAATCTAAAACTTGAGGATGTCTGTAATATTTGCCTTTGCCTAAATCTGTGGCTCTGTACCACCTTGATGGAGGCGACATGCTCGCAGGGAGAAAAGAAAGACAGGGAACGTGCTGAAGGGGAGAAATCAGAGGCAGGGGCTTTTGAGACTTCTCGCGTGCAAGTCACGTGGAATTCTTCCGTTAGTATCAACCCCATTCTGTTAGTTGTACTATTTGTGCCCAAGTTTTGCAAACTTAAAGGACAAATAGTGCTCAGGTCCATATTTGAAGGACAATATTGAGTCTACCTTCAAACATAAGGGATAATTTGGGCCAAAAACTCTTTATTTCTTGCGTAACACAAGTATTCGTTTGCATAGCACAAAATTGAGGACTAAAAAGAGCTTAAAGATAAATCAGTTACAACTGAATTTATCAGACGGCAAAGACCATAGATCCCGTAGTTGTTTGAGTCAGACAAAGACAACTGAGAAGCTTATTAGGTCAGAGGTCGAACAATATGGAGAAAATTCAGAATATATATGACGATAATAGAACCTTATAAAAAACATGACAGATAATAGATTGATGAGAGGCAGGTTGAAAGGGAAATTTCTATAGAATTGGACAAAGAATGCTTCCCTCTTTTTGAGTTGTTAATTCATGAATTGTCTCTAATATTACAAAATCATTAGAAGGGCGGTTTCAGATAGCACCAGCACTAAAAAACTTGCCTTACATAAAAAAGAGAGCACCAGCACTAAGAAAGTAGAATATATAATTTGAGGGATAAGCACCAGATAGTAAAAACAACTCCAAGGGTACTTTTCTCTCTCTAATAGTTTTACTGTGGACAAGTAAATTATGAAGTGAAATTTACATTGTCTCTAACATTTTCTAGCGTTCATGATAACTAGTCCATCCTTTAGTAGTCAAGGAAAGCAATACACCCATTTGGATAGAAACATCTGTTAATAAGAGGCGATGGCATATTTATGAATTTCATATGCCATGTTTATAGCCTATAGGTATTATTTGAAATGAATCCAAATAATGGATGAAAGGGTCTATGAATCGAGTTTGTAATGTAAATTTAAACTTCATATTCAGACCCGCTGTAAAGCATTTAAGCCTTGTGAATTCCAAATTCATAGAGTGAAATCTATTATACTCCTTCCTTAAATCCTAGCACTTCATCCATTCGCCTTCTCTCCTCCCAAATGCTATTGATTATCTGCTACCTTTTAAAACAGTTCTCCACAATGCTAATTTGCAAGTCCTTCACTTATCAAGTGATCAACATTGACTAACCTTTGACCTAAATTGGATATATCTGAGATATTTTATAATTTACTAAAGGTACTAATATAAGTTACAATTTTAGCATTTCTGAATTCAGAATGATGCACTTAAAGATTTGTTAAAAGGACATTTTGATGGACAACCATAATCGAAAAAGATGACAAGGTTAATACTCGATATGAATCAAAGTAAGCATTTTGAAGCATACCTATGTAATTAAATTGTCTTCGCTTTCCTTCTCGAACGTCAGGACCTAGTCTCTGCGGCAAACGACCAAGCACAAATTCATCACTGACCACAAAAAAATAAGCAATAAAATCTCAATATTTATCGAAATAAAGCTTCAAAGAATATTCACCTTGGCTAGCAGGACGGCATCCAATACCTCCTGCTCTGTTGAAGCCACTCTACAGTGAAAACCAAAATATAAGAGTATTTAAACACTAAATTATATCCTTTTTCAATTGTAATCAGGAAGTTCTCAATTTACCTGAGAATGCGCTTAATTTGAGGAGGAGAGAACTTAGCTAAATCCATGGCCCACCGGACAGCGCGTCGAGCTTCACGCTTCTTCTCGTTGCGACTCTTCCTTGTTTTGCCATCGGAATCACTCTCACTCTCATAGGGATCCGAAGGTAATGGAGTATCACGCGATTTAACGGCGGCGCCGGAACGAAAATGAGCTTGCCGGAAAGCGGAATGTGATGCCGTGGATAACGGCGGTTGACGGACGCTACTGCTCGAGAAGAGTGGAATTGGTGATTGAACCAGGTGAATGAATGAGGCGCGAACGTATAAATAGTGATGCCATTTTGGCCAATTCATTAGAGGCTTAACTACATGAGCCATTTCTGTTGCAACTGTGTTAGCTTTTCCAATTGGAAGAGACGGCTTGAAAAGCTTTATTCATGAGCTTATTTGGAGTTGGGCCTCCCTGTCAAATATAATAGAAAAATGAAACTTTAAAGGTTAACAACTTAGAAATTTTAAATAAATACTATTTTAAAAAATTATATTTTATAGATACCTTTTAATGTTTATAGTTAAAATATTTAATTTTGGTTAATTCCTACCCCTAAGCCACTAAATACGCTATTCAGTTACACTATTTTCTTTCTCTCTCTACTTTGATACATGTCATTCTCTTCCCTCATTCCCTGAAAACACGATGCTCAATCTCAAAATTCCTCTCACCCATATCACCTACCATTAGTAAAAAAAAAAACACGCTCTCTCCTCTCTCCTCTCTCTCTAGGGCGACAATCTGATATGCTACAGTTGCGCAAATAACTGCCTTTGCAGTTTGGAACTCAAGGACGATGCCTTATTGGATGGCTTGCAAGAAGACATAGTTTGATTAGATTCGACAGATATGATGACTATGTTCTTGCAGCGACTAAATCTGTTAACTACATATCCTTGAATGGGAAAGAAAATCAGTGCAGGTTATTTTCATGGACTATTAGATTTAACCCTAAAGAAGAGACTTCAAGAGCCTTTGTTTGGATCTCGTTTCCGAATCTGCCTTTGTTTGGATCTCTTCAAAATATACGAGGATTCAATTTGTTGATGATAAAAGTGGGAAGGTTATCGAGTATGTCCAGAAATTCAATTTGGGGCTGAACAACTTGGTTTTCTGTTAATATATTTCAATGTATTTCATTGTCTATTTTTTCATTGTAATTGAATGTATCTCGTTGTATTTTCATGTATTTCATTGTATTCATTGTCTATTTCTTCATTGTAATTCAGTGTATCTCGCTGTATTCCATGTATTTCATTATATTCACTGTCTTTTTTTTCATTGTATTTCAATATATCCCGCTGTATTCTATGTATTTCATGGTATTCACTGTCTCCCTATATGTCATGAATGTATTCATATATTTTTTTTTAATTAATATAATTTATGTATTCAGATGTATAATATAATTTCTCTGGAGATTGCTATGTTTTTGGGGTATTTTTCGGTTGAGAATCATTTTTATACCTGGAAATACAAAATTTGTGTGTTGTAAGTGAGTTTGTTGAGTTATATTAGGAGTCGATTATGTTAATTGATTCACTTTCCGTTTAAAAACAGTATAATTCCCTGTTTCACGCCGTGAATACAGTCGAATACAATAATCTTCCAGCTGTAATCCTATGTTTCACGCCAATAATACAGTCGAATACACTCGAATACAAAAATCTGTCTAGCTGTAATCCCCTGTTTCACGCCTGGAAATGCTACTGTATTCATGAATACAGTAACTTAAATACATCAAATACATCCTATAACAACAGAAATCGTATCTACAATCCGTAATATAACAAATGGTATCTATAGATAGCTAATTACCACTAAAAGATAGTGTTTTTTGAAAATTTCTCTAGAAAAATTGGCATCCTATAACAACACATAACAGGAATTTGCAACTTTTTAGCCTTACATTAGGTTTGGCAAAGATAGCCCCAAACAATTAGCATTATATAGCCATATAATAGAAACCTTATTTTCTTATTTATTCTTTCTCATAGTTTGCTGCCCCATGTACGCTGCTCCCCACCCTCCCTCTTCTTCTAGTTCTTCTTCCCTCCCCCGTCTTGTTCATTGCCCCCCCCCCCCCCCCCTCCCCCCATTCGCTGCTTGCCAGCTATTCCTTTTATTTCTCTGATAATCTCCATTTAATGATTCAACTAAAAAATTGGCTTTTACGGCAAAATTCCCTAAAAAAAAATAAAAATACTTCCTTATTTACCAAACCCTAATCTCTTTCGCCTCACTACCATTTCAAAGCACTCTCCGCCTCATCACATTTTTTTTTTAAAAATGAACTTGAGATTCATTAGATAGACAAATTACAAATGTATACTTACACGTATACACATATGTATCATATGTTTTTGACCAATCCTTTTTGGTCCCCCCCCCCCCTTTTTTTTGTTTAATTAAGAAATGATTCTAATTCCTATCTGGTATGTATATATATATATATATGTGTGTGTGTGTGTGTGTGTGTGTGTGCGCGCGCGTGTGTGTGTGTGTGTGTGTATANGTGCATATCCACAAGAAATTATGTGTTATATACTAATATATACATTATTTTATATCGCGATATACATTGTTAGATTTGACAATATAAGGTTAAATCGTTATTGATTTTAAGAGGGGAAATTCATTCTGAATAAAGTTACTTCAATTTTATTAGTAATCAAAAAAGGAAAATAAATTTTCGATATAGCATGTTTAAGCAAGTTCTAAAATATAAAAATAATAAATATAATTATGGAAGTAAATAAAATTTTGGTATACAAACAAAACTAATTGTTAATATACACAAAGAAGAAAAATAAACGTATAATATCTATTTTGGCATACACATGTCTGATGTGCTATACACTATGATATACAAATAATACAATATTTTTATTGTGATATACAATGATATAAAGGTACAATAACTATATATATAATTTTATATTATTGATATACAAAGAATAATATTATTGATATACAACGAATGAAAATAAAATTTTAATATACATGTTAATATACACAAAGAAGAAGAAAAATTGTGATATACATTTATTGGATATTAATGCCAATATCTATAACTAGGGCTATTTTCTGCCAATTATATGAGTATGTTGTTATACCATGCCAAAAGAAAAATTGGCATCCTATAACAACACATAACAGGAATTTGCAACTTTTTAGCCTTACATTAGGTTTGGCAAAAATAGCCCCAAACAATTAGCATTATATAGCCAAATAATAGAAACCTTATTTTCTTATTTATTCTTTCTCAGAGTTTGCTGCTCCATGTACGCTGCTCCCCACCCTCCCTCTTCTTCTCGTTATGCTTCCCTCCCCCGTCTTGTTCGTTGTCCCCCCTGCTCCTCGTTCGCTGCTTGCCAGCATGTGACGACCCAAAAGGGGCATCAGCTGTATTCCTACTCCATCTGTACTTCTGAGGCCCTGGAAACCTCATTTGAGGTTGCCTCGAGTTGTGTGCGCAGTCCGGGCACGTAGCCGGAAAAGTTTAAATATGAAATTTGTGAGAAAAATTGTTAAATCTTGGTATTTAATTGATTAAGTTTGACTTCGGTCAACGTTTCGGGCAAACGGACCCGGATCCGTAATTTGATGGTCTCGGAGGGTCCGTAGGAAAATATGGGACTTGGGCGTATGCCCGGAATCAAATTCCGAGGTCCCAAGCCCGAGAAATGAATTTTTGTGTGAAATTGTTGTCTGGAAATAATTAAGGAAATTGGAAATGAAATTTGATTAAAAGACTGTGGTATCGGGCTCGTATTTTGGTTCCGACGCCCGGTACAAATCTTATATACGGCTTAAGTACTTTCTGTAAAGTTTGGTTGAATTTGGACGTCGCTTGATGTGTTTTGGACTAAAAACTCTAAACTTGATGTTTTATGAAAATTGGAAGGAAATCCTGGGTCTTGAGGCCTAATTTGATGATTATGATGTTGTTTGGGCGATTTGATCACACGGATGAGTCCGTAGGATGTTTTTGAGTTTATATGTATGTTCGGTTTGGAGCCCCGAAGGTTCGGATGAGTTTTGAGTAGGTCCCGGGAGGTCTTAGGCTAGAAATATCAGATGGTTGCAGGTTCAGGTGTTGCAGGCCCCCAGCGCGGCCGCGGTCATTTCCGCGCGGTCCGCGCTGGAAGCCGCGCGTCCGCGGTGCGTTCTTGCGCGGTCCGCGTGGCTAGGTTCAGAGGGCCAGTGGTTCAAGTCGACCAGCGCGGCCGCGTGACTAATCAGCGCGGTCCGCGCTGGGTAGGTTCAGAGAGTGGTTTTCCCACTCTTCCTTGGCGCGGCCGCGGGGCATTTTTGTGCGGTCCGCGCCGGGTCTTCAGCACAGTATATAAAGTCGGGATTTTCAGTCATTTTTCACTTTTTCAAAACCCAAAACATAAGAGGCGATTTTCCAAACGATTCCACTTCTTCAAAACGATTGGTAAGTGATTTCTAACTGATTTTCTAAACTCCTTAACATCCTTAAACATAATTTCAACTTCAAAACAAAGATTTTAATGGGAAAATTGGGAATTTAGGGTAGAACCTAGGTTTTCTAAAATTGGGGGTTTGGACCTCAATTCGAGGTCCGATTCCAAAATAACTTACATATTTGAGTTCATGGGGGAATGGGTAATCGGGTTTTGGTTCGAACCTCGGGTTTTGACCATGTGGGCCCGGCGGCATTTTTGACCTTTTGGGGTAAACTGATGAAAAAGCTATAATTAGTCATTGGGTTTGATTTGTTTAGCACATATTGATAACATGAAGTCCTTATTTCATAGATTTGGTTGAGTTGGAGCCGAATTCGAGAGGGAAAGCGATTGTGGAGAATTGTATTGGCCGTGGAAGTTGAGGTAAGTGTTTGGTTTAACCCTAGCTTGAGGGAATAGGAGTCGAGTCTTGTTTGCTAATTGCTAAATGATCGAGTACGATGTATAGGCATGGTGACGAGTTCCTATACATTGGGGTCTAGCATGACCGTCAGTCCTTATATGTGAATTGTTTGGATATTGTTATGCCTTCCATGNNNGCGGCCGCGTGACTAATCAGCGCGGTCCGCGCTGGGTAGGTTCAGAGAGTGGTTTTCCCACTCTTCCTTGGCGCGGCCGCGGGGCATTTTTGTGCGGTCCGCGCCGGGTCTTCAGCACAGTATATAAAGTCGGGATTTTCAGTCATTTTTCACTTTTTCAAAACCCAAAACATAAGAGGCGATTTTCCAAACGATTCCACTTCTTCAAAACGATTGGTAAGTGATTTCTAACTGATTTTCTAAACTCCTTAACATCCTTAAACATAATTTCAACTTCAAAACAAAGATTTTAATGGGAAAATTGGGAATTTAGGGTAGAACCTAGGTTTTCTAAAATT